CACTCCTCATACCAGCAAAGCTCACAATTAAACCGGTGTTAGTTGTGTGTGAAGATATGGAGGTAGAGGTTGGAGGTTGCCCAAGTAGTTCAGTTCTGGATTTTAAATACATTTCTTCCTTTTTAAAAGTTAGTAGTGTTGTGAGAAATATTTCAGTATAGGACTAAGATCTGACAAATCATTTTTAGGATCATGGTCTTTTAAAAACACGTCTCTAATTTGTTTTAGCAGAACTTTATAGTAAAAGTAAGGCATTCATATTTGAAAAGTTAAGCCTTAGCCTTTTTGGTCTTCAGTTTTCTAAGTTATAACTAAGAATAATATTGCTTACTTCTCTACTTACAGCACTGAACCTGTCAAATCCAGGACATTTTCAGATTTTGCCTGAGGGTAAATATCACTGCTCCTATTGTGCCAATTTCCCTCTTCCCCAAGGATATTGAAGGGATATGGAAGTGAACAGAGAGCTGATGGGACGCAAATTCATTCTGTTATCTTGACCACCACCCTGGCCTCCTGGTTGTCCCTTGCACCTGTTATGCCTGGTCTTTTAGATGGTAAGCAATTCTGAGCAGGAGCTGTCATTTATTATATATTTGTACCATGTTTTGCATGATGGGGTTCCAACCTGGTTGAGACCTTTAGGTTCTATTGCAATATAAATGTTAAGTGATAATAATAATGTATAAAACAGGGCAAATGATGGAAAATAGAACAGGCTGAACATGGAACCTAACTCTTAGGTGGAAAACAGACTTTGTTGAAAGAACCTCTATTTTTCAACAGTTTGCAAAGGCAGGGTCCCGAGGTGTCCCACCAACTAGCGTCAAGTCTTAAAACTTCCAGTAAAGGTAACACTTTGTTTTGACTCCTTCAGTGCCAGGCACCTACACCTCTGTAATGATTGTAAAGTAAAAAGCCTTTGGCTACATCTCTTGGTTACAACACAGTCAAAGGGTGAGGCTAGCCTGCTATAATGACATGTTTTCCTGAATATTCTGTCAGTATCATAACAATCTCTGCATTGTGAGCATGATCCAGAGCCCACGAAAGTTAGCTTGTATCTTTCCAATGACTAAAATGAGCTTTGGATCATGCTCCTTAGGACAAATACTCTCACTTTTCAAATACAGTGCCTCACTTGGAAAAAATGGATCCATTAACCCCCCCTGTAAAAACTGGTGCTATGTTTACATTACCTCAGAGACTTTTCTCATGCAAAAAATGGCTATATTTTGAGGGAAGCAGTGAAGTGGTAGGTGCTCATTTTGGAGAACATGGCTACTTTTCTTTTTGGAAATTCAAGAAACCAGGCTAAAATCACATAGAGGGACATGATGGTTCTAGATGTTATTATGACATTTGTCTCAATAAGGTCATAAAAGGGGTGCTCCTGCTTTGCTTCTACTACCTGCTTCACTGCAGCTGATACATTGGGAAAACCAGGTATATCATTCACAACCTCCACTGTGATTGTAATGAAACAAAAGCCTCTCGGAGGAACAACACAGCATCCATGTGGGATGGGAAGATCAACAGTGAAAAAGTTTAGTTTCTGTCGCTCTGTAAGGCTGTGTCTAGACTGGCAAGTTTTTCCAGAAAATCAGCCGCTTTTCCGGAAAAACTTCCCAGCTGTCTACACTGGCTGCTTGAATTTCCGGAAAAGCACTGACGATCTTACATGAGATCGTCAGTGCTTTTCCGGAAATACTATGCTGCTCCCGTTTGGTCAAAAGTCTTTTTCCGAAAGACTTTTGCGCAAAAGGGCCAGTGTAGACAGCACAGTACTGTATTCCGCAAAAAAGCCCCGATCGCCATTTTCGCGATCGGGGCTTTTTTGCGGAAAAGCGCGTCTAGATTGGCAGGATGCTTTTCCGCAAAAGCACTTTTTGCGGAAAAGCATCCATGGCCAATCTAGACGCGCTTTTCCGGAAATGCTTTTAACGGAAAAGTTTTCCATTAAAAGCATTTTCGGAAAATTATGCCAGTGTAGACGTAGCCTAACTGTTCACCCATTGCTGGCTCAGAATTTAACTGTGACACGTTAGGGTTTCCCATATCTGTGTCTCTGTCTTATGCTTTTCTAAGTTACCTAAGCACTGACTTGTGCTACATTTAGCCACAATCTGATTCCCTGGAAGAACAGTCCAGGACAAACTGGCATTCTGTACTTTACACCCACTCCCTGGCTTGTTATGATCCAAAGTCCAAGGCAAGCTGACATGCATTTGTGTTTTTTTTGCCTGAGTAATCATTCATAATTTAACATAATGCTTTATTGATTTAACAGGTACTAATTACATTTGTAGAACTCCTGTTCCAGTATATAAATTAAATAAGATAAGGAAAGAACTGTAGTCACAAAGCGTGAAAGATGTCAGAATTGATTTTGGATTTTAAAAAAAGGTGAAAATTATTAAGTTTCATTTAAAAGAGAAAACACTAGATGAAGGGCATGTCTTTTACTAATTCCGGTTCAGTTTTCACTTGGGAATTGTAAACCTCTGGTTTGAATTTCTGTATTTTCCTTTCTGAGATAAATTAAGATCTGTTTAAAAGGTCATCTGTACCATTTAAGGCCTTGATTTAACACAGCAATTAAGTGCTTGTTTACAGAAATAATGGCTTAAGTGCTTTTGCTGAATAAGGATGGATTGAAGCACTAGTTTAAAATTAAGCATATATTTAATTGCTGTGTGTGGAATTGGGGCCTAAGTCCTGTGAACTCTTTTCTGCATAATGAATTTCACTCTAAGTCAGGGCTACTCAATATGTGGCCCGTGGCCTGTTTGTTTGCGGCCTGCGGTACAGTTTGGGTTTATGCAGGGCTCAACATGCGGCCTGTGGGTGGGATCCTTTGAACATGGCCTCCACTGGGAACACACTCCATAATGGTGAGTCAATATAATGGTCTTCTGTTGATATGCGTTTTAGCAGTTAAATTCCTGGACTGTCATTTCTCATTAAAAGTGTTGTCATATGGGTGGAAATTGTGTAAATATTGCATTTTATTAATATCATCAGAACTGCATGATGTGTAGTCTTGCCTTAATCTTTGTATTCATGCCTGTCAGTGTGAAAGATGCTATTTGCATGTATTTGCATGTACAGGCAACCGCACTTAAGTTGAGGCCCTCAGCATGTGCTGTGAGTATCCTTGTGGCCCCCAGGACTTCCAAAGTTGAATAGCCCTGCTCTAAGTCTTTGTCTACACTGGCTTGTTTTGATGCCAAAAACTGCCCTTTGTTAACAAAATGGAGCACTTACACACTACAAAGCAACTTCTTTTTGCAGGGCGGGGGAAGGGAAATCCCCAGTTTCCGTGATAAAAAGCTTCCACCTCTGCAAGAGACTTTTGTCTTTTCCCCTCCCTTTATTGTTGACAAAAAGCAAGAGATCTGGCTTCTGCCCATATCCTACAATGCCTGTCCTGATGGATGTGCTCAGAGTTTTGTGATCTCTGCTGCCCTGCAGGCATGCACCCCTCCCCTTTCAAGACTGGGAAGTATCTGATAGCTGAGTTAGCTGCTCTTTTTGGGGAACAAACAAAAAGAACAAATCATTGGAATGCTCCCGTTCTGCTCTTCTAGGAACACAGCAGCAGGCAGATTGCTGCTGCAGAGGGAAGGCTAGAGAGACTGCTCTGCTGCTTTGACAGTCCTCATCTCAAAGAGCTCACAGAGCTCCTCATAATGTTTCTGAGAATGCTGTGGAAAAACTTGGAGAGAATCCCAGGAAGTGCAGAGATCCGCTCTGCCTTCCCACAACACTGCACTGTGGGATGCTTATCCACATTGCTTTGCTCTATCTGTTGACAGGGGAGCTAACACTGTGGCAATGAAATGTCGACAATGGGAGGCAGAAAAACCAGTTTGACTGATTTTCACTTTTGCCAACTTTTGCATATCGACAGCATTTATGTCACCAAACCTTCCTAGTGTAGACATAGCCTAAGGCAGGAGACCCCGTTTCCAAGCACGGACAACATCTTTACAGAGAGATTGTCTGCTTACCACTTCTTGTCTCATTCATATCACCCCATGTTTCCATTTAGTGGGTTGTTTCCAGCCATTTTTAATGAAACAATGGGGTAAGCTAGCACCACATGATCAGGCAGGGCTCAAGTTCAGCTGGAGTCATTTGGGGCAGAGCACTAGTAAATACTGTCAAGCCGGTAGGAGCGTAGGTTCCTTTGCACTGGATGAAGTTCTGAGCCTGGGCGCTTCCCTGCAGCTGGAGCCCCAAATGGAGGGAGTGGGCCTCTGGGAAACAGCCTGAGAATTTAAGTCCTGCAGCCAGCTACTCCTAGACTGCTACTACTATATAGGTCTGATTTTCAGAGACGCCAATCACCTGCAATTTCCTCTGAATTCTGGTAGAGTTGTGGGCAGTCAGCATTCAGTCATGGATGGCCAACATACCCAGGAATAAGAATGAGGGGATGTACAGTGCAACCTTAACCCTGGATCCCACGCCATTGGGCTGCAATGCCTGCTCCTGTGAAGCTGGGCAAGGAATGGGTGGAGACAGAATTCAGTACCTGGCCTTCCCCGAAAACAGTGTGACTGTGCACTCACTGCCTGATACTCCCAGTTAATCGCAAGAGACCAGAATGTTTTATAAAGAGGGTGCTGTGCATGTGCACAAATTTTCAAATTTAAACATTTTGGTTTATTTATGTTGGTACTTCCCACCTCCAAATGATGCTGGCCTATGTGGTTTGTGGACTTTCAACAATGTCAAATCAAAATAATACAAGAGGGATCACCTGTTCAATGTCTATTTTTCTTTCATTTTAAGAATTATTTTAAAAGATTTGTTTACAAGCTGAGTTTACAAAGAAGGGTTTACAGGCTTTTTTTCTCTTCCCCCCACCCCCTAGTCTGGAATGTATTTTTCTAATTGCCAAAATTTGTGCTTGCTGATGGAAACTCCGATAGGGTGGGTGGATGCGCTGGGATCCTGCACAAGGGAAAGGGAAGATAAAATGGAAGAATTACAGAGTTCCGTTTGGGTGAGTCAGATCCACTTCCAGAGCTGCCCTTCTTGGTCTTCTGTGCCAAGGAGGTGCCAAAGCGGAGGGTTTCATAGACAGGGTCGACTTTGTTGCCACAGGCTGCAACAGAAAAAGGCAAAACACAGATAAATGTGTGAAAGAAAGTACCCATCATCATATTTCCTTCACTTAGGGTATGTCTACACATGCAGCCTATTTCGGAATAGGGCTGCAAATGTAGGCATTCGGAATTGCAAATCAAGCCCGGGATTTAAATATCCCGCACTTGATTTGCATCTTCCCGGCCAGGCACCATTTTTGAAATTTACAGCCCGGAATAACTGCCCGTGTCGACACGCGGTAGTGAAACGGGTGTTCGAAATAAAGCGCTATTTCGAACTACCTGTTATGCCTCCTGCAATGAGGTTTAACAGGTAGTTCGAAATAGCGCTTTATTTCGAACGCTCATTTCACTGCCATGTGTAGACGCGGGCAGTTATTCCGGGCTTGTAAATTTCAAAAAATGGCGCCCGGCTGGGAAGATGCAAATCAAGCATGGGATATTTAAATTCCGGGCTTGATTTGCAATTCCGAATGCCTACATTTGCAGCCCTATTCCGAAATAGGCTGCAAGTGTAGACATACCCTTAGAGACTTCACTGCCCATCCCGTCTTGTTGGGACACAAACAAACAGGGTAGGCACTGGTCATGCAAAGTGCTCAGTGAGCATGCAGGGATCCATCCAGAGGGACTGCTATGCAGGATCAAGGGATTATAATGGAAGTGGCTTTTGCTGTTTGCTTCTCCTTCATCTGTCCTTATCAAGGTCCCATATGCAGACATTTTGATCCTCCCCCATTATCTCTCTCTTCCAACGACACCATTCTTTCCTGTGATCCCCAATCTGTCCCCCTCCACGCCTAGCACAAAAGTACTTCCACTCATTCCTTGTTCCCAACATTCTTATTGACTGACACCTCTGAAAATCATCTCCTGTTGCAACTAAAATCACCCAATCTGGGTAAAATTGCATGATCTGGTCCTGGTCTGTCAGGTCTCAGCCTCTCCCTTTTCCCACTTAGGATATGCCTGTGCTGCAATTGGGATAGCATGTGTAGGCAAACCCAAATTATCTGTGATTGAGTCAGCTTGCTATAAGTTACAGTATAGGCGTTGTGGTCAGTGTGCCCTGTAAACTGAGTGCTTGGGCAGCCACATAGCAGAGGTTTAGTGTCACTCAGCTGATCAGCATATGTTTCTCCTGGTGGTGCACATCTGCAGATGCTTTGGTGCACATGATAACATTTATTCCACACTGGGATGGAAAAAATTAGAGAGAACATTGATAATAGCCTGGACCATATGCTCAAATTTTTATCTGAGGTCTCAGGTGGAACTGTATTTGGGTGCTTAGTCTGTGCCTCTGCCTTTACTGCTGCAGCTTTCCTTCTATTTTTTGCAGTCTGGCTTGTATATGCCTATATGTGCTGCAATTGCATCAATTGTGTCTAGACATACACTTATGCCATTGATCTTGCTAGTAGACACCTTTTCTCTGCTTTTCATGTCCCTCCCAGCCACAAACTCTGCAAGTGGGTCTTATTTTCCTTGCAAGAGAGAGATGGGCCTTATCTCATCATCAAGCAAACTGTGACCTTTGTTTTCAAGTGCAAATATTTATAATGTTTAAAGAGTACATACAAGATCATTAGCAGTTCATGAACTGAAATTGATCATCTCATAAGAGCTTAGCTCTACTTTGTCTCTTTGGTAACAGACCATTCCCCCCCTCCCCCGCATCTCCCTTCTGTTCTGAAATGTGATTTGTCCTTTTCATATGTGTTCATTTTTTTAAATTGTATCCTTTGGTATATATGGTTGTGACTATTTTCTTCCACTTTTTGATCTGAGGAAGTGGGTCTGGCCCACGAAAGCTCATCATCTAATAAACCATCTTGTTAGTCTTTAAAGTGCTACATTGTCCTGCATTTTGCTTCAGCTACACCAGACTAACACGGCTACATTTCTATTACTAGACAGTACAAAGGGGACTCTCACTATCAGCTGGGATAGTGATAGAAATGTAGCCCTGTTAGTCTGGTGTAGCTGAATCTGCTCTGTCCTCAGCAGGGAGCTGCTGCTGTAGCTGAAGAAGTGCCTCTCCCCAAGCCAGGCAGCCCCTCCCCCAGCTCCAGGCAGTGGGGCAGCCCTGAGCTGCTCATTAAGCAGCTGAGAGCGAATCTTGCTCCTGAAGTCCCCTTCAGCCCTCCATAGCCATCGTTTCATGAGAACTGAGCACTTCTGAATCTTAAAACAGCAAAAGTTTCAGGTTAGTAAAGAGAAAAACTATGCATAGCTAATACAAATGTGACTCCAATCTTAAACTGAGAACCACAGGAGATGACCCCTGTCCTTAAGCTCAGCCTCAGTTAAGTTAATCAGGTCTGTCCAGGGCTGGATTAAGGGAGGGGGGGCCTAGCCGGGCAGCTGCTTGGGGCACCAACCTATGAGGGGCGCCTGCGCTGCGCGCCCGCTGCACAGGACGCAACTATGGCTCGGTTCGGCACTGGGTCTGTCCACACAGTTCTGAATGTGGGATCAGGGCCTTACACTCACATAGCACTGTTCTTCCCAAAGCGTGTCTAAGAATTGTGGACCTGATTTTCTATCATTGGTCATTTTAAAAATCAAGACTCGATGTTTTTTTTTCTGAAAAGTATGATCTAGTTCAAACAGGAATTATTTGAGAAAAGTTCTGTAGTCAGTGCTATCAAGGAGGTCAGTCTAGACAGTCACAATAGTTCATTCTGGTCTTGGAATCTCTGAATTTATGCATTCACTTAGGGTACGTCTAGACTACAGGCTTCTGTCGACAGAAGTTTTGTCGACAGATACTGTCAACAAAACTTCTGTCGACAAAGAGCGTCTAGACTACATTGAGTTCTGTCAACAAAACAAGCTGCTTTGTCGACATGGTAGTGTGGATGCAAAGGACAGTTTACATGCAATAACACCTTCTGTCGACAGAAACTCTGTCGACAGAAGGCGTTATGCCTCGTAAAATGAGGTTTACCAGCGTCGACAAAACTGCAGAGTTCTGTCGACATTATGTCAACAGAACTCAGCGGTAGTGTGGACGCAGGTATAGTTTTGTCGACAAAAGTCCACTTTTGTCGACAAAACCCTGTAGTCTAGACACACCCTTACATTGGTATAAATTAATGTAATTCAGCCAAAGTCTACAAATTTACTGTGGTGTGATTGTAACCAGATTCAAGCTCTAAACAAAGCACAGCAACGTGAAATGCAGCCTCCACTGCAGTAGAAGGTGATAAACAGCAAACCTACAGAACAACGTAGTGGGAAAGTGAAAGATCCTGGGATCTTTCATGTCACAGAGAGCAAGAGAAACCTTGCTTTTACAGAAGTGCTGCTCAGAATCCTTTGAACAGAAATAATTCTAATTTTAGAAGGGTCTCCTTTTGTAAATGGAAATTTATGCACAGCCATTAAATGTAAAAAAAAGTTTTGACAAGAACTAGCCTATTGACAAGTCATTTCATGTTAGTTAATTTAGTTGATTTTATGTTTTTGCAGTGTCAAGTTTGAACACTTCCTCTGGGTAATTTAATTAATTACCCAGAGGAAGTGTTCCAAAACTATTTTTTTTTAAGTTCAAAATTTTTGTTTTCAAAATCTGAGGTAATGGGGAACAAAAACTGGCTCAAATATCTGAAGAAATTCTAACTAACTCAATAAACTCAAAAGAGACAACAAAGGAACGTGATCAGGATAGAAAGGAATCATTAATTCAAGATCATGATCAGACCAGCCTTCTGCATACTTCATTGTTATTTTAACTGATAGAGCTGGTGGTGCTTCTTCCCAAGTCAGGCCTGCCTAGCAGCAATGCACAGGCTCCTCCCATTTTGAACACAGGCATTGGTTTGATGAAGGCCGAAGAATGTAGTGTGCTATTTGTATTGGGGCTTTGAATCATATACTATTGAAAAGGAAAACAAATACATTTCTTTCAGTTACAGCTCTGTATTTTTTAAGGACTACTTCTTGGAGACAGTGGAAGAATAGCTGGTCCCTCACAGAGTACGGAGCTGAAGGGCCGCTGGGAACAAACATCACTTCTGAGAGCAAAACTCAGTGTTGCACAAGAGAGATTGAAAGATGAAGCAATTAAAACTCACCAATTGGCATCACTTCTTTGATGCAGCCAAACTGTTCATGAATGAGTAGCGGGGAACTGTAGTACCTCCGAAACCCCTTTGGCTAGTGAGAGAAAATGTGACACCTGTCACTGACATGACTGAAATAGTATCATAGAGCATCAGATATAATCTCAGCTGTTCAGCTGGTGGCATAACCCTAAATTTTCTCACTAAAAATTAACATTGTATCTGTTACTGATCAGCAATTTTCCACTTTTACTTCAGGATGCCAGGTTTATGGTTTTGCCTAAACTGGAAACATCTCATTTGTGTTTCCTAGTATTTTCTGGAATGAAGGTCCTCATTTAAAAATCCTATTTTACCTTCAGCCTTAAAAAAAATTAGTGTTAATAAGTTAAAATTAATCACAGCAAAAATGCTGAATCATAGAGAGAGGTTTCACAATACTCTATGTGAAGGAAGCTATTTAAGCCACACTATTTAAAGTTTCAGGAATTGCTGGTTTTCCTATGGTGCTCAGTTTGTGTCTTTATTCCATATTGGTGTGACCCACTTCAGAGCCTTGGCAGGTAGAAACATATCCATAACGGTGACTTTAAAAGTGCATCATCTTTCCCTGTACAAATTCAGAGTAAATGGGCCTAGCTCAGCAGTTTTCTCCAGGAATCATCCTACAGGATGCAGAGCTGCTCCACAGCCTATACTCTTCCTCAGTCCTTCCTCTACCATGCAGGAGCATTCGACCAGTATATAGTGATGGATCTATAGGAAATGCCTCTATCTTGGCTTGCCCTAACATCAAATCCCTATGCTGCCATGTACAGAACCTATTAGAGCACAGTCCTCAATGCACAAAGGGGATAGTCTGCCCAGGCCTGACCACTCCCTCTGGATCCTATGAATTTACAGGCTGAAGGAGCAGGATTTGGGTCTATGTAGCAAAAGATTTCAGCCAAAACAACAGTACAGCCCTCAAATATTCTTTCTACAAAGGGGTGAGCAATAATTTTTGGTTGGAGGATATTTTAAGGATACTTTAAGATTTTGGAAAGTGGTCAAGGGCCACACTTATCAGTGGAGGAAATGTGGGGTCTAAGATGGAGGTTGGGTGCAGAAGGGTGCACAGGGAAAGGGACTGGTCTGCAGGAGATGGTGTGAGGTCTGAGAGGGAATTTGGATGAAGGAGAGGGTCATGACCTGAGTCAGGGGAATGGGGTGCAGGGTCTGGGAGGGAGTTGTGATCTGGGGTAAGGAGGTGCAGAGGGTTTAGATGGTGACCTGTGTGTGGGGAGGGAGGGTCTGGGAGGGAGTTGTGATCTGGGGTAAGGAGGTGCAGAGGGTTTAGATGGTGACCTGTGTGTGGGGAGGGGGGAGTTGGGGTGCAGGAGTGGCAGGGGTGCCAGAGGCAGGCTCTGGTTGGGAGGCACTTACCTAAGTGTCTTCTGGCCAGCAACCCTGCAGCACCCACAAGGCAGGCTGGACTCCCTGCCTGCTGTAGTCCCAGAACTCTTGAAACTGCAGGCTGTTCCCTCCACCTGGCTCTCAGCTCTGGGAGGGGAAAGAGGCTTGCATTGCCCCCCATCCCCTTGCCAATCATTCAGCACCTGATGGCTGGTTGTTTCCAGCCAATAGGAGCTGAGGGGTGGGTGGGGAGATCCCACAAATCCTCCCCCTGCCAGCAGAGCAGAGAGCTGCATGACTCTGCTTTAAACCGCAGCAGCTGCATGCAGGCTCCTGGCACGGTGGTCTGCAGGCTGGATCCGGTGGCTTGGCAGGCCGAATCCAGCCCCTGGTCCATATTTGCCCAGCCCTGTTCTAGGTTATAAGTTATAACCACCAGAGTCATCCTGCTTTCTTAGTGCAGTTCATAATGAATGAAATACTTTGTTAACTATGTATTTACAGGGCCGGTCCACAACATTTTGGCACCTGAAGCAGGGAGCTCAAATGACGCCCCCATGCCTTGTTTTGGGCCTAAAAGGTCTCAATTCTGCTTTCTTCCTGTTCTACTCCTCTCATAGTACTGCTCCGCTATCTACATATGCACCAGCAGCAGGCACAATTTTTTACACTCTGAGTCCTAGTGGTGCCCCCCCCACCACAGTCTGGCACTTGAGGCAGTAGCTTCAGTTCACCTCATGGTAAGGCCAGCCCTGTGTATTTACCATATTTTGAGATAAGACATTTTCAGCCCAAGGCTAAAGGCTCAGGAATTCACTAGGCTGCACTATGGTTGTTACCATGTTTATTGTTATCATTAGTTATAGCTCATAACTAATCAGTTCTACCTGCATTAGGCTACTTTGTATTTCTTCAGTAACCTATGAAGCGTGGAGCCTCATGATTGGGTGACTCCATTTAATAGTGGCATTTCCCAAATCGCCAGTGCAGAAATGTTTAGGGAGGCTGTGTTTAGCTACACTAAGTTACAGGGCATTAATCTTGCTGCTATTGTGCTTCCATATAAAGACACAAACGGATAAGGAATGATGGGGTTGACAGTTGTGATGTGTGTGGAGAACTGATGACTCTGATTTATACCCTTACTTTCCCATCTATAGGCCAAATTCTGAGCACCCATGAGAGTTGTGCTGTCTTCTAACAGTTCTGAATTTGGCCTTTTTTCATTTGCTCCTGTATAAAAACTAAACCACCATCAACGGAGTGTTAGCTGGCACTGCCTATAATGACATGCTCCCTGTCCTCAAGTCTGAAACAATATGAACTAAATATTCAGCTTATTTTGGACTAGCAATTAAAGTCTTTAGTACCCATCTTTGTTTAAGAGCTCAGCTTTCTGTACCAGAAAGCCGCTGGCTGCAACTACACAATTCTGGATGGCTACGTCTACACTGGCCCCTTTTCCGGAAGGGGCATGTAAATTTCACCAGTCGTCGTAGGGAAATCCGCGGGGGATTTAAATATCCCCCGCGGCATTTAAATAAAAATGCCCGCCGCTTTTTTCCGGCTTTTAAAAAAGCCGGAAAAGAGCGTCTAGACTGGCCCCGATCCTCCGGAAAAAGCGCCCTTTTCCGGAGGGTCTTATTCTTACTTTGATAGCTTCCATGGAACCTACTGGCTGCCTAGAATGGGCTCAGCAGAGGGCACATGTTACAGAAAGATGCACTTACACACGGGCTACGTCTACACTGGCCCCTTTTCCGGAAGGGGCATGTAAATTTCACCAGTCGTCGTAGGGAAATCCGCGGGGGATTTAAATATCCCCCGCGGCATTTAAATAAAAATGTCCGCCGCTTTTTTCCGGCTTTTAAAAAAGCCGGAAAAGAGCGTCTAGACTGGCCCCGATCCTCCGGAAAAAGCGCCCTTTTCCGGAGGGTCTTATTCTTACTTTGAAGTAAACACTTTGAAGTAAACACTTTGAAGTAAGAATAAGACCCTCCGGAAAAGGGCACTTTTTCCGGAGGATCGGGGCCAGTGTAGACGCTCTTTTCCGGCTTTTTTAAAAGCCGGAAAAAAGTGGCGGACATTTTTATTTAAATGCCGCGGGGGATATTTAAATCCCCCGCGGATTTCCCTATGACGACTGGTGAAATTTACATGCCCCTTCCGGAAAAGGGGCCAGTGTAGACGTAGCCGTTATGTTTTACCTCATTTTCCAGGACTACTGTTTAAACGTGGAGAAAGCAGATCCTGTAAGACTATGGATGGATTTTCGAGCCTTTCCAATAATTGACAACACTTCCATTGACTTCAGAAGGGGCTTCAACCTATTTGTTCCTAATCTGTGTCTGTGCTAAAGCTTGATTTTATTCTTTATCCTTCAAAACTAATGTGTGTGAAATATTTGCAACAAAACTCAAAATGTTTGAAATGTGAGCGTTTGCACATTCAGTTGCAAATTCATAATTGGTCTGATTTTCACCATATAATGGGCCTTCTTGTTTTCATTAAGAAAGCATGAAACACAGGAACATAAGAACATTGTTAATACCAGACTGGATCAGACCCAGGTCCAACTAGTCTAGTATTTCCTTTTTCCTACAGTCTCCTGTAGAAGATACTTCAGAGGAAGGAGAAAGATTCCTGCAATAAGAAGATGAGGCCTAACTGCCCCCCTTATTAGGTCTTATCCTGATCTCTTAGGCTACATCTAGATGGCAGGCTTCTTGAGTAAGAAGCTTTTATTGGAAGAGATCTTCCGCAAAAACTTCTTGCGCAGGAGCGTGTCCACACTGCAAAAGCGCATCGAAAAAGCAATGCACTTTTGCAAAACAGAGTGTCCAGACTGCATGGATGCGCTCTCAAAAGTAAGCTCTGATTGCTATGCACAGAACGGCCACCAGGGCACATCTGCTTTTTCCTCTATCCTCTTTTTGCGCAAAAAAAACCCCTCTTCCCCGTCCACACACACCTTTTTGTGAAAGAGCTCTTTTGCAAAAAGACGTTCTTCCTCATAGAATGAGGAATACCTATGCTGGAAAATCCCCTCTGTTCTTTTGATTTTTTGTGTGCAAAAATGCGCTTGAGGTGTGGATGCTCTGAGAGTTTTTTCAGAAAAACAGTTGTTTTTCTGAAAAAAACTCTGTAGTGTAGACATAGCCTAATAGTCAGTGTTTACCTTTAGCTCTGAAGCATGGTATTCACTATCCCTGTAAAGTGTTTTTAGTTTTTGCCGCTAAATGATTATTTTCACAAAGTTTGAGAGTAGTCAAATGTAATGCGGAGGAATTTTATGATCAGATTTTCAACTAATTAAACCAAACCTATTGCAACAGTTTTATTTACGGGCAGTGATACATACCATGTTCAATTAAAAAATAACTAACATTTAGATAAATTTGACCCATATGTAACCATACACCCACATATGTACAAAAGGACAGAAACTGTATGGTTTTCCTCAGCCCGTGGAGTTGTAAGTGCCATTGTCCAACTGAAAGGGACTTGATTCCAGATTTAGCTAACATGCCGATCAGTTACATTCAGGAGGCAACAGCTATCAGGGCAGCGTTTAGAGGGCTAATGGATCCAATGTGAGCTGTGGAGTGTTCTGTTTAATTTGCTTACCAGTTTGCCCATGCAACGCTGTTGTCCAATACTGTCAGTGCACTTGTGGTGGATGCTCATCTTACAAGCCTTACAGCGCAGTCCATGTTTAGCATTTGTCCCTGTTGAATGCACAGAGATAATTTAGTTAAACAAAATCAATAGTTTCCATGCATTTAACAAGTGACCTAAATGCATCAAAGAGAAAGTCAGTTTCACTTTTGTAGGTATCATATATATATATAGTAGCCCAGTGTCTGAGAGTCTGTAACGCTGAAATGCTGGCTGTTCCCTCTGGGTGGCGCTGTTGCTGAAATGCTGGCTGTTCCCTCTGGGCGGCCCGTGCTGCATGGGGAGTGTGGGGCCCAAACAGCCGCTTCAGCGGAGCAGTGCAGAAGTCAGCGGAGCACCACGGCGGGAGGCGAACGGGGGCAGGGTGGTGACGTGCAGCATGACAGCGGCTCCAGGCCCCGCCCCCTGGCCGTGAATGTCACCGCCCCGCCCCCCCCTTCGCCTCCCACTGTGGCGCTCGGCTGACTTCTGCACCACACAGCTGGGCCGTCGCGTGGGAGCAAGTGGTGCAAGTGACCGTTTGGCTCCGTGCTTCCCATACAGCATGGGGAGTGAGGAGCCCAAACAACTGTTTGGGCTCCGTGGTTTCCCGAATGAGAGGCAGGAGCGGGAGGAGAAGAGAAAGAGAGAGACAGAGAGAAAGGCAGGAGGCGGAGGAGAGCTGAAAGAGAGAGAGGGGGAGGCAATAGGAAGAGGAGAGAAAGAAAGAGAGAGAGAGAGACCGGAGGCTCAGGAGAGAAGACCGACATGGAGGAGAGACCTGAAAATCCCGTCTTATGACGGGCTAATTGGCTAATTAGTAATAACTTCCCCCACCATCCTTATTTATGTACAAATGCTCTTTGGCTTTTCTAGGTTTCTTCTGTTTAGGATTCTCTGTCAGGCTTCTCCTTATTTTCCAGGCTAATTCTGACCTTGGTATGGCAGAGGTTGAACTGGATTATTCTTTAGTTTACCATGCTTGCTGTTGTTAAGCTCGTAACCCCATCATGCTGCCACCCTGGCCAAATCTAGGGACTTAGTGCCCAGACCTAATAGCGGCAAGAGACTCTGAATCCCAGGCTATGGGAGACACTCCACAGAGGCTGTTTTAGTCTTGTGATTGAAAGAAGGCTTTGTGTCCCAAATGTGCCACCAAAGAAGTGGATGGCAGGTTGTTTAAACGATCTACGAAGGGATGAATCCTATGGTCTGTTCCGGTCAGATCCCATTGCAAGCTGCGAGGCCCCCACCCTGAGGCAAGACCCTACCTCTCTGTGTCTTTGTGCAGTCGTTGTGTACATTTGCTGCCACTAGTCTCCTGAGGCATGCAGAGATTTTTCTCTCCATGTGCCTTTTGAGGTGCCAGACTCCCCAAAGAGATGGGAAGGTGATGAGGTCCTCCTGTGCACTGGGCAGCCATGCTTTTTGGACATACTGTGGTGAGAATGCAGTACACCTGAAGGAACAAGGTAGCAGGCACACTGTGCTTGCATGTAGGGTAACTTCAGGGGGAAATTTTGCCTTCCTGACACAATGCTGAGTTGAGCTCTGTACAGTCTGAAACATAGAGTAGCACCTAATGACATTATTGAGTCCACTAACTGCAGGGCAGGAACCATTGCTCTTGCTTAAGTATCCACGCATCTCCTTACTTGAAAATTTAATTTGCATAAACTGTTTATATTTTTAGGAAAGCACAGAAGAGCTGCAGAAAATTTGCTCTGGGCTGAAACTTTGCTTTTCTGGGCCCACGCAGATATTTTTTTAAAATGGAATGAATACATTGAACTTCTGTTCATTATTATGTACTCCAATAAATAGACTGTTGTGTGCAAGATTTGGATTCACTTGCAGCCCAAGCAAAGCACAAGAGCACTGAAATCATCACATAGAACAGGGGAAGAACTGCATAAAGCAGCAACAAAGAAAAATGATTGATATTTGGATTGGCTTTTTCAAAAAGACATAAGGGAACTGAATTGCTAACTTACAAGTCAATGGAAGTTGGTTACCTAACTCTCTGAGGTGTTTCAGACATTTCCACTCCCTAAATGAAACATAAATTCACATGTGGGCATATTTCTGCCAGGGAAGCATTGGCTCAGAACCAGAATTATTTACAAGGAGTTTATATGAGTTAGCAGGTTCTTGTGCTTTGAAAAGAATAAAGAAGTTTAAAGATATTAATGAGAAATTGAGCATAGGCATCTTAGATAAAGGACTTTCCCATAAACTGTCATTAGGGCTTTAATCTCCCAATTATAACAGCAGTGGGATGAACTATAGGATAGTATGATCAGGCTCATAAAAATTTAAATCCATGATCTCAAAGCCTTTCCAAATACCATAATTTGACATATTTATCTGGTGAGATTAGTACTGTAGGTTAGGAAACGTTCTGCATTTGAACATATGGATGTTGTGATAGGTTATTGGGCTAGCTAACCTGGTGTAAAACTGCTGTAATAACACCTGGGTGATAGTCATTTCTGTTAGTTAAATAATTTAACCCAATGATGTACTGCTGATGAAGGGAGTACTTCAGGAAAGGATTTCATTTAATAGATAATAAAATATTAGTCTAAGAGTTGCATTCAGGCTCAGCCCTTTCTGAAGTGATAGATTTCAAGAGGTGATCCTGGGTCCCAAATATAACCCACTCAGGTTTGGGAATTTTATGGAGCTGAGAGCTCAGGTCAGCCTTTTCAATATTGGTCACTTCTTAATGTTGTGGACCCCATTCTTCCCTGGATTACGTCGTAGTGTATCTCCTTTGGAGTTGAATATGGCTGAAGTGAATCGGATTCTACAGGTTGTGGTTCAGGTTAGAATGTACTCCAATGCCAGTAATAATATTGGACAAGGATGGCATTTTCTGGCATTTGGAATCTGGCTAGACAAGCTGACTGCTGCAGTTAATCCAGGTGGTTATAAACTGCAAGGTATTTCCCCATCCTGAAGTTATTGTTTTTATTAAAACTATGATAAAATCCACAGATCTTAAGCATTTTTTAATTTACACATGAGACCAATTTGAATTACACACATACAAACCAATTTTGATTTCTAGCTAGTGTTACTGAGACAGAATGGGGACTCACCTTTTTACTAGAAATGAATGACTGGAGTAATCAAGAGGAAATTAGGACTTTGTCTTCACTATTTATTAGATTTATTGGGTGCCATTAAAAACTCTCAGAATGACAAGCTACTTGCACTTGGGAGGAATAACTACAATGCACATTAAAGCTATGTGTACACAGCAGCATTATTTTGGAATAACTAATGTTATTCCGAAATAACAAAGAGTGCATCTACACAGCAAGCCATTATTTTGAAACAATGGTGAGCTGAAGGACTTCTTTCTTTGACTTCTGTAATCCTCATTTTACGAGGGGTAAGGGAAGTCGAAGGAAGAGTGTTCTTCCGAATTAAGCTATTTCAACTTCAGCCATACTGTGTAGCTTAATTTGACTTTTGCTTGGCTATGTAGACATGCCCTGAATGACAACTGGATTGGTTCTGATTCTCCTTTCACTTATTAAGGCTTTATGCCCGTGTTTCCCTTAGTTCTGATTTTTGCCAAGGTCACAGTAGAATCAGCTCCCTAGCCTTTATTTTTCAGTCAGACTGCTTTGTTGTTCCAGTCATTTTAATATTAATGCTTATTTGAATCAAGTTTTTAAATGTTTTCTTGACGATAAAAGCCTCTTAATGAAATATGTGTTCTTAAACATCTATTTATCTTGTATATAATTATATACCCAAAAATGCACCGAACAAAAGCACTGTATAAACATACACTCTTGTCAAAATCAGAAGCATTTTCTCTTCTGGCATACACATCTGTGAGCATGGTCTGCAATCAACTCCACAGAATAAATTAGAGAAGGGCAAGCATATTATATTTGTATTAATGAGTGTTATTTGTCACCAAAAGTTATTTCAGGTGCACACTGGCATCTAAAGAGAATCTGTAAATTAAAATGGAATTTCCTTTAGCCACACAAAACTTACAATTTCTACTTTGCTATCTTTTCTAACTAAACACTTTATTGTGTGAACAAAGCAGCCTGGAAACAATTTTGCATGTGTCTACAATGCATAGCTTTTTGTGGAATAACCAGTGGTGTTAGGGAAGAAAGTTTACTTTTATGTCTAATTGACATTTCATTGACGTAGCTCAATCTTTTGAAAATGGCATTATTGTATCATACATTTGATTCAGAAAAAAATGCCTTCTACTCTGGTTTCTAATGCGACACTTTCCAAATCCAATGTCTTGAAACCCTGGCCAAAATATTCACACTTGTATGCCCAAAGTTAAGTCCATATATAGACACCCAAGTAAGTAGCTTTCTTTTCAAAGGCATTGAATAACCACTTTCCAGTTAGATCAACAGAATCACACTAAATTTTATACAGGGTGCAAGTGAGAGCAGAATTTGGATCTTTAGATCAAATTTGACTCTTATACTTGTAAAATCCCAATTGACTTTGGTGTTAAAAGAGTGTAAAGTGGCAGGTGAGATTTTGGAACATTCTTTGGTAAATTGTAATGTAAAAGAAAAAGGATCTGGACCAAATTTTGATGTTAGCTACACTATGTAACTTTGGAGTAAGTCCATTCACTTCAGTGGAGTTACTCTGACACCTGTGTATCCATATGGTATCTAAAGAAATATCGTAGATTATAAGTGCTGTGTTTAATCTATATCCTCTGGACATTGAGGGTACGTCTAGACTACAGGGTTTTGTCGACAGAAGTTTTGTCGACAGATACTGTCGACAAAACTTCTGTCGACATAGAGCGTCTAGACTACATTCAGTTCTGTCGACAAAGCAAGCTGCTTTGTCAACAAAACCCTGTAGTCTAGACACAATCCTACATGCAATAACACCTTCTGTCAACAGAACTCTGTCGACAAAAGGCGTTATGCCTCGTAAAATGAGGTTTACCAGCGTCGACAAAACTGCTGAGTTCTGTCGACGTTATGTCGACAGAACTCAGCGGTAGTGTAGACGCAGGTATAGTTTTGTCGACAAAAGTCCACTTTTGTCGACAAAA